GCCGGGGGCGTGCTTGCGTGTCGCTCGGATCCTTAAGCTAGAGGCAAAACACGCCTGCTACTATGCAACTGCAAAGAGCTTCCATCCTTGGCCATCTGTAATTCGGCGCGCACTACTTATTCTATGATTCCGACTCTCCGAAAGTCGAGGCTGAAGCCATCTAGAACCACAGGCTAGAACTGATAGCCAAGCGAGACTGCGATCCATGCTGCTAGAAATGAGCGTCCTTACCAGCACGAAGATTTGAAGCGGGTTAGTCTGTCCACGCTCTCCTCACCATCATCATGTCTACGACTCCCAAAATCACTTTCCACCGCTGCTTCTGCAGCTGCATGCGCAGTTCTAACAGCACATTCCTGCTACGGCTTCTATAAAAAGATCGTTGAGATTGTCTTGGGCCAGGCCGCCCAAGCCGTTTCATGCACGGCACACCACTGGCAAAGAAAGTTTTCCCACTTGAGGCTTTCTTGCATTAAAAAACAGAGCATGGCGGGCCTGCTTACTGTTGATTGCTTTTCATGCTTCTACTGATTCTACTAACTTTCACCAGCTATTCAGAGTCGCACGAAGCATTTGTAGACCAAACACGTCCCAGCCCTGGCTTGCCGAGCTGAGGGAGATGTGCTGGCAAGTGTCAACCAGCCCTCCTGGGTTCGGCTAGGATGAAACCTGATTTGCAACGAACGGGGCGCAGGGCAATACCGGAAAACACTGCATTCGACAAACAGGTGTGGACGATTCAACACATGCAGTAGCATTCTGCAGGAGTCCGTTCTGCAAGCTTGAAGCGAAGTCAAGAAATACAGCGCACGCAATGACACGGCGGAATGACACCATGCAGCTACATCCACAGCCCTGTTGCCCGTTGGATTGCGAGAACTTGCTGTTGCAGGTTGTAATATAGCTTCTGAAGCTAATTTCCTGGAACTGTGTTTGGTCGATGCTGGTGATGATGATGACAAGGTGATCAAGATCATAACAACGATGATTCATGGATTCCTCCACACTTGAAGGGACTCTGTCTGCCACGTTACTCGAACCGTCGCGGGTCCGAGCGGACGATGGCTTCCACCTCAGCTGCTTGGCTTGATCGCAATTTTGGGACTCAGATGCGCCTTGGCTCACTTTACCTATGCTGTTAAAGCTCACGGCTCCGAAAACACAGATCGGAATCGCTCGACGAGGGCTAAGATGCGTCGAGATTTCTGTCAATCAAGATTCGGAGTACTGTCACGAAACTCCTCATGCAGTTTTTCCAACACTGCTTCATAACTGACAGGTAAAAGGGCAAGAAGTATCTGCCCTTGGTACGGCCTTGAAGCCTCAAGCCGCTGATTCTGGCAAAAGGGGCCTCCGGCTCCGTCACCCTTCCGAAGCGACCGCGACCGCGCGATCGCAAAAAGGCCGTGACCTGAGGGCAAGTCAGGTTTGGGTTTCGCCTCCGGCGGGGGGGTCTTCCGACTATGGCCCCAAGCTAACTACAAGCTTCAAGTTCTTCAAGAATCTAGTCTTTCGGGCTCGGGGGTGCAGGGCTTCAGGGTTTCGGGGGCGGGGGAGATTCGACTCTGTATCTCCGAATGCCAATTTGCACCCTTGAACGATCTAGGCTCAGGAGAGAAACACCGCTCGAATCGTCCCGCGCCTCATGCAAGAGCATGAAGCCATCTGGCCGCTTCTGGAGGCGGTGTCCGCCTCCTAAGCCGCAAACTTAAAGCGGTGAGTTGCAACGGCTTGTCAAGCTCCCGTGCTTTAGAATCAGTGCCTGGATCTGCTTTCTCAAGCTTCAACATGAGACAAGTGGACCTATCACCAATACCTGTGTGCGTGTGTGTGTGTGTGTGTGCGTGGGTCCGATCCTACCCCGACCATGGAGCCTTTGTAGCGCAAGATTTGCACCAGCTTCCGCGACAGGTCATCACGATCCTCGGCTGGCCGACATCTTGGGGCGGGAATGATGATACTGAAGCAGTTTGCATGAAAGATCGATCGCTGCCAGGAAACATTGTACATGATGGAGTTCCTGTCACGAGCCATGGCTGCCCCGAGGTCACAGCTACCAAGGCCAAGCAAGAATTCTTCGCAGCTTTACTCGGAGAGAAAAAGTGCCTTTTTGATGCTGGGCAGACTGGACCCTGGATCCTCTGGCGGACTGAACCCCTGAATCGAGGGAGTGCAGGTCCCTTGTTCTGGATTTCGCTTGGGCCAAGTCAGGGCATGTGCAGACAGAGTTGGCCCATTCGATCAATTCAGGAGTCGATGACGTGACGATCCAGAGACATAGAAACTAGCAAGCGGGGCACCTTGCCACCGAAGCACTAGTGCTCAAAATTTGCTGTGACAGCAACCGTTTATGAACAGCACTCGAAGGGAGCAGTGGGAGCACCAGCAACTGTTGCAGCGATACGTTCCGTAACCGCCACAAAACTTGCATGAAATAGCCGGGGGGGGGGGGGTGCTACAGCTCTTTCAGAGCGACTAGCTGACTAACTGCAACTGAATGCATTCAGCGTGCGAGGCAGACGCGGCCTGCTCCCCACGGATGCGGATGAGGCCGTGGGTCTTGATGGTGTGGCCGCTTGGCCTTGTGGTGAAGACCTGGGACAGCATGGCTGCACTGGTAATCCATTGCCACCTAGGTTGCCAACTTCTCGTTATGACTAGGAGCGCTGAAAGTTCCGTGCAGTCTGTGGATCGAGAGTGCATGCCGACCTCCTTCCACTGCCCTTCCAAAGCTTCGAAGAAGGAAAAAGCAAAAGGCGCTGTGGGACTGGCCAGATTGCGAGAACTAACCCATCCACCACCACTAGCACCACCACCACTTCTTTTTGCATCCAGGCCTATGGCAACTGCCGGGCAACCTCTTAAACCCTAGAACTCCCAACTCCCCCCCTCGCAGCAACCTTCTGCAGAGCAGCTGTGCAGCTGCTCTGCTCCACCCCGCTGTCGAGCTGTACCTCAGTTCCGCCGAGGTGTCTTCGCTGCTCCCACCTCTGGTATACTGCCATCTTCTCGGAGTGATTACTACAGCCTGGGACCTGCAAACCACGCCAAGGCAAGCATGTAAGTACATTACAGTTATGATGGGAAGAACGGTAGAAGAAAGCACTCCGTCAGGCATCTGGCCACACAAGCTGGCATTGCAAGCTTCACGGCCTTTCTGAACAGCAATGTGAAACTTCATTGCACGCTTGCCATGCCTGCAGAGCCTGAAGCGCTGAAATGACAGTAAATAAACTAAGGACAGACTGAGAAAATACCGATGATGACGGTTGTACATGGGCCGGGGGGCAGAGTACGTCGAACCATCTTGATCCGTCCACGTACCCATCCTTCGCTCGGTGTGCAGTCGGCTTTCGATTTTCTGCGCTCGGATTTAATGGGAACTCGGTGCGGAAACATGGTCCGTTCATTCCGCTCTTCACTGATCGTGCTTGTGCCAGCTTTGGTTGTACTTATTTTGCTCCTTGTGGTTCGATTGTTCAGCTGTCCACCTCCATGCCCTCATTACCTGGCTTCTCTCCTGATCTCCGGGACTTGTGCTCACGACGTGATACCCCAACACCCTTCCTGACCAAACCGCAAGACCCTGTCGCTCAATGCTCATGAAGTCAGGGACGAGGCGCACCAGTTCCAACATTGCGAGATTGTTGCAGCGCGCCTGGTCCTTGCACTGCTGGCGGACATGCTGGGGGTTTGGGTTTGAGGTGGAGAGACTCTTGAGAGGCCATGACGTATGACAAAGCCAAGGCAGCTTAAAAATTTTGCCCGCCTCGGGTCTGATCCCAGGAAACGGAATCCTATCTGGCAGTGCAGCTATGGAGCCTGCTCCGATAGATTGCCACCTCGGAACTGCCAAGACTGAACTGAAGGACAAGCAACTGCCATCCAAGTCACAAACAAACAGACACACACACACACAGAGACAGACTTTTACTTCAGTCAGGCACGAATGACTGCAATGAACGACCGACTGGACAAGACGAGGACAGATTGCAGCAACCATGCAGTGTCACTGTTAACTGTTCGGCCAATGCTGCAAGCAACACATTTAAGGGTACTTTGGGCTGGCCGTGCTTGCAGGTACAGGTGGATCAGACCACCCATGCCCTGTCTTGGAATAGCTTCGTTGGCACAGGTATCCGAGACAGGCCTGTGCCCCCTTCAGCAAAACTTCGGTCTCACTCGGCGGTCGCCATGTACAGGTGCACACACACACACACAGCATGACCATGACACTTGCACAAAACTAGCTGGCGCGGAATTGCACAAACAAAGGCCTCTTCTCTGAGCTCAGGGCCCTTCTCTTGCCAACCTCACACTCAAGAGATTGGCTGGGGCTCGCAGCCTAGCATAGTGAGGAGGTGGGGCATGCAGGAGGCCATCACCAGACGACTGGTGCGGTTGAGGCTTGCAGGCGCTTCACTGGGCTTCCACTGGATCTGTTGCTTCCTATTGCACCACACTGCTCTGACTGAGTGGGCTCATGCGCACGGGGAGCTGTGTTGTGTAGCCTTGCAGCCTGAAGCCGAGAAGCACAGGGCGGGCAGCCACTCCTTTGCCTTCTTGCCTCCGCCTCCACCTGCCAAGGCTGAAAGGTGGTGCTTGTGAGACAACCTGCCTGTCAAAGAGTGTTCGGTGGAGCCCAGATCCAACCTAGCGTTTGTGGCGCTGAAGGCATTGCTCAATGCCGCGCGGCGGGCTGCGGATCGAACTTCACTGCGAGTGAAACACAAAAACCTGTGCTGCGACTTGCGGCTTCGGGCCGGGAGTGGCGCAAGATACTGCAGTGAATGAGACTAGGCCTGGTACCGTGCCCTTAGAAGGGCTTCTGCCGACGCGGCATGGGTCGAGGATTCGTCCGGGACACACCCAGAGCCATATTGATGTTGTGTACACGGCTTACTATAGACACTATGGCTTGGGCCAAAAGTCGCAGATGAGGAGCTTGGTCACCGTGGCTTCAAATCCTGTGGTGGCCTCGTAACCTGGAACAGTGAACCCTAAAGTTCTGAAATCACAGAGCCTGCCCTGGATGGATCCACCACGGCAATCACCTGAGCAGAGTTTCCTTGTTCGGCCAAACTCAACATAGAAGTCGCAGCTTCTTTTATTTAGTGCGGGCTTTTTGTCCGGCTGTTCTTTATGGTGCAACTCAGAAACAACCCGACCTCAAGCGAGGTGTCCATGTCACCCAGGATCTTCGGCACGACTTCTTCCGCCTTCCCGACCTGAGCAGTCCGTCTTTCTCTTCGCACTTTGCCTCGGTTCGTCCGAGCGGTCCGTCTTCCCGTGGACGGCAGTCTACCGAACTCTCGCAATCTGAGCCCTCGCGACCAACAGGTCCCGGCACCCAGGTGATCTTTCAGGAGATCAGATTCTACCTACATTGGTTGAAGCTCTGGTGCTCGGAGGGCCGATTACTTGGTCAACCTCACCACCGTCAAAACAAGTGCATGAAGCACAACAGGTTTCGCCAGCGGCCCAGGCAATAAACTCTGTGTTGAGGATCGAGTTCTGCTGCGCGTTTCGACGAGCATCCTCGAGCTTCTCACAACACACCGCGATCTTTGTTCCCAGCTTAGCTTGTCCCGAGAATCTGGGCTTGAAGCGTTGGGGGGGGTCTGGTCCGCACAGAATGAAACCCTTTAGACACCAAGATGACAAGATGTCCTCGATGTTCTCTTCCACGATGTCAACGCCAATCACCTGTTGACAATATAAGGTGATGGCTCTTTCCTGGACCTCTCCGACCACCTTTCAAGGGGGGCCATTTTTTAATTCAATCTTGGCTTTGGGCATACTGGAATGAAGGCATGTCTTCACAAAGCCCCAGCCCGCCGGTCGGCCCTCCCACCCGACCTTGGCGCAGTAGCCGGCAGCGCAAAGGCCGATTGTGCCAATGCCGCAGAAAATGTCCAGCAGAATCTGTGCCAGGCTTTTTGTTGTACGAGTAACAGGGTTGGGGGGCATCGTCGAGTATAGCCAAGAGGTGAGTGCAAGTAACCCTCGCACCAATACCACGAGACGACTCAGGAGAGGGCATCGCTCTTTCGCAGCTTCAAGTACCTGTCACCAGGAGTCTGCCTGACCATTGACGACCAGAACAGGAGCCTTTAAAACGGCAGAAGCCTGATCGCCGTCTCCATGAGAAAGCGACAGGTGGTGGTATTCGGATTGAAGAAGGACCTGACAACTCATGTCGAAGATTGGGTCGTGTGAAAAAGCGCCAGGCCGAGCCAGTTTCCGCAGTCCTGTTTTTTTGGTCTAAGCTGTACTGGTCGATGATATTCCAAACCTAACAACCCAAACCGGGATGCCTCCCCTCTGTTGCACCATGCGCAAGTGTCTTCCAGACTTGACTTACTCTCTGTGCCCTAGCTCCTTGCTTCGCTGCAAGCTTGCATATACAGCTTGAGTCGCAGTGGTCCGATCTCCAACTTCAGCTCCAGCATCGGCATCTCCAGCCTGGAGCCACTCCGCTCCCTCCCTCACGAGCCCGCGTTTTGGGCCGAAAGACCTTCTGCTCCAGCCTCGGCTTCCCATGCAGCGGGGTGACCTTCGTGAAGGCATCAAAGTGTCACAGAAGGCTTGGCAGCATCCTCCGTTCCTGCGGCCAGCTCCCTGGCCGTCTGAGCCCAGGGCCAGAGCATTGGGCCTCGGCGCATCCGTCACCTTCGCAGAGCTCCAGTCAGGTGAAGCTTGTGAAGAGCCGCTTCTCCAGCCTCGTCATTGTACAGGTGATAAATGGAGCAGATGCCAAGACCACTGGCCGCCAGTTCGGTGACGAAGGGGTCCACCTCGCTGTTAAGGTCTTGCCATGCCACCACGTCGTGTTTGCAGGATACGACCTCAGCCCCTTGCAAAGGCTGAGCGGTCCTCCTCCTTCATGGTCGTCGTTTGCACCATCACAAGCCTTAGCAGCGCGATTCAGCGAAACCCTGCCTCAGATCCTCTGCGGCAACCCGGGACCCAAACATAGCAAAGAGTGGAAACTGAAAGTGAAAACGAAGGACACCTCAAAAACCTCTTCCGGAATCTAGGTTCCGCACATGTCTCCCTTGGGATTGACACGCGCAAGAACCGTGCGCCACACCCCACATCGAGCCTGCAAGCAACGGCTGCACAAGTGGTCTGTTCGCCACCACCACCGCCACCACCACGACTATGACGACGACGACAACAACGACGACGATTGGATACTCACCGGGTAGTGGAAGTGGGAGCGGCAGCGGTGGTCGTAGTCGTAGCAGCAGTAGTAGTAGCAGTAGCAGCAGCAGCAGCAGCAGCAGCAGAAGTAGTAGTAGCAGCAGCAGCAACAGTATCGTAGTCGCCGTCGTCATCGTCGTCGTAACGGATGAAAGTTAACGTCCACGGCTGGTGGCCCGGAGCAAACGTACTTTATCGGGCAGTTTGACTAAGATTAAAGGACTCTTACGGTGGGATGAAGGTAGGCAGCGGCATCCCAAGTTACGCATGAACCCAGCCTACCTACCTTCAACTCCCACCTGTTGAGACCATAATTTGGAGTCCGGGTGGAGCTTCATGCACCGATGCCGATAAGCTTCTCAACCGTGAGTCGCCAACACGAGTTTTCGGTTTGCCAAGAGTGCCTTTCGGTCGTAGACGGGATAGCTGGAGTTCTCCACGAACGCCGCAACCTCAATGTTGGGTACATGGTGTGAGGCTTTTAAAGAAGCAAGCAAAACAGCGTGTTGTGGCAGACGTGCGCAGCCGATTCCTTTGTTGCCTATAAACTTAGTATAAACCCATTCTCCATTTCAAGATGCCTGCTCGAGGCTGTAAACTTTTTTCACAAGGGACTCGACTGTTACCCAGGCTGTAAACTGTAACCCTGGCAATCGTAACAGCCATACTTCCTTCAGAACCGTGAGCCAAGGCGTGCCGAGAACCCACACTGCCATGCATCCAAGCAGCCTTCGCACACAAGCGCTGCATACATTCCGGCACCAGCCTGACACCATCGAAGGCTGACTGGGCCATGCGCACATGTGCGTGCAAAGTGATGACCACCCTAAGAAAGACAATTCGGACGCCCTGGATCTGTGGGCTCAAGCTCGGAGGCCCAAAGCCATGCAAGACACACCCCTTAGGAGCGGTATGACTGGCCAGGCTGGCCAGCTGCCGCTTGCCGTCACACCATGCAGTGGCTAAGGGTGCCACGGCACATCCTGAACGCTGCCGACGACCTGCAGCCGCTCCGTTGCAGGATGCGCCAGTCCCTATGTTTGGGATGCGGCTTTGACTTTGGGGCAGGCTCGCCTTGCGCCATTGTTAAGCCATGGAGAGGGATGCTTGGGGAAGGCATTGGCCACACTCAGCATGGAGATTGCTACGGAAATGGTCGGAGTTTGTGCATCGGTGTTTTAACACATTCCGGCCTGCGTGCCGTCACTCAGAACTCTCAAGATGAAGCCCACCTCTACAGCCTCAGCTGGATCGCATCAGATGACACCACCACACGCAAAACGAATTCATGTCATGATATAATCTAGAATGATGTTATAGAACACAATATAGCACGACACTGTATAACAGCCTGGGGAGCTTGAGCACTCTCCCGCCGAATGCAACACTCCGACATTGCCAAGATGCACCCTGCTCGTTGCGTCCAATGGTGAACCTGTGTGGCATATGACGTGCGCGCTTGCTACACTGCACAACGAGTCAGGCATCAGCTTCATACCTCTGACCACGCGTATAAGCACATATGTAGATGCACGCATACACCACACACGTATCTACATATATATATATATATACATATATATATATATACATATATATATATTTGTATGTATGTATACATGTGTATATATATATACAGACATATAGAATATGTGTACATATATATATACATAAATAATACACACACATGTACACATATGCATACATGCTATGTAGGTGCACTTAAGCATTGCGCACTGTCTCGCGCATGCATGATGCAAGCATGTACGTGCACGCACCCTGCACAAACATACGTGTGTGTAGAAATGTACACATTAAAACTACGACGTCTTCGCATTGGCCCACGAAGATAATTGTCATATTGTGTTGTAGTGTGCTTATGTTAAACAATACTATGCTGTGCTATGTTCTATTATGTTATATTATATCTTATTACGCTATAAAATGTTATATGATGTGAATACTATGTGTGTAACATGTTATCGTTTGTTTCCTCGCACGTTTATGATAGCATAGAAAACTTCTTTGCATCGTGTAGATGCTAAACTACATTACACCATATATATATATACATACATTTATTTATTTATATTTATATTTATATTTATATTTATATTTATATTTATATTTATATTTATATTTATATTTATATTTATATTTATATTTATATTTATATATATATATCTATTATATATATATATATAGATAGATATTAGAAACCGATTTTACTGTACCATATCATATGAAAACAAATTACATTAGGAATACGACGTTGTACTACGCTCCCTGGTGTTGTCTTCTGCGATATTTAAGTATGTTATATTATGTTTAGTATATAACCGAATGAAGTATATTATATACTAGAGCTGTAAAAATATAGTGCAACCGACTATAGCAGTACAAGATGATAAAGTGATATATATATATAAAAAGTTATAATTACATGACTATATTGTATTGCATTATGTATTGTTTTCAGGTTTATTGTAATACAGCAGATGCACAAGTATCTATATACGGGTATGTTATCTTGTTCTACCGCTGTGTGTATTCTACCAAGCAGCCTTGCAAAGCTCGGTTCCTGGCCCTCTCTTGAGCTGAGGCCATGGCTCGCATTTATTTCTCCAGCCCCTGATTCAGGTCGGGTCGAAGGCCTACCCCAACAGGTGGACAGTCGTGTCCCAGGCCCTGATGGGCTCGAACGTCCTGCCAGCAGAAGTCGCACCGTTTTCCGCACGGCACGAACTACCCATGCGTGCCTGCTCCTCTGTGCCGCCCAGGAGCTCTTCTTTGTGGGGCTTCAGGTTAGCTAGGTCTTCATAGCAAGGCCAAAAAAACGCCAAACCCCTATGCGGTGTTGCTACAAGCTCCAATCCAGATGTTTCGTTGTGCTGCCCTGCGCAACGGACCTCAATCCGTGAGCCGGGGCCTTCTTTCAACCTAAACCCCAAGGTTGAGGCTTCTCGCCTCCACGAGAGTTCTTGTGACCCCAAACTCGCACTGTGCCTCAGTTCCCAAAAACCTGACTTCGTTTTGGTGTGAACCGCTGCTACACCTAACACAGCTACTCAGCTACTCACACCACTACGCAGTACCCCCAGACCTTGAGAACAACTCAGCACATCTAATCCTGCAGCGCATCAATACTTCAGCCTACGTCTAAGTCTAACAGAACCTGATACGTAAACCCATGTCTAGATGCGGTCATGATGTCATGACGTGCAAGTTCCGGGAACAAAAGCACAGCTAAACGGTCCATAACAGCATAAGTGCTTTGATGTGAATGGGGCTGCATGATCTGGACGGGTCCCCTTGTGGGACGCAAGGACAACATATCCGATGCAGGAGATGGCTACGGAGTTTACCACTACTGAACGATCAGGGTTCTAATCCTCGCAGCCACTGCCGGTCACTGCCGCGACTACGACGGCCACGGATGCTAGCATGAACAACGCAGCAACCACTGCTGCTACTGCGCCTGCTACTGCTACTACGACTACCGCTGCTGCTACTGCCACTGCTCCCACTGCAATTTCCACCAGTGCAATCACCGCTACTTCTGCCGCAGCTGCAAGCACGGCTCCTGCTACTATAGCTGCTGCTGCGGCTATACTACCACTGCAACTGCTGCAACTACTGCAGCTGCTACTGCTACTGCTACAGAAAATGAGATTGATCGTCAAGAATCTGTAAGAAGTAGCGCACAGAACAGCGACAACACTGTGAATACCACTGTTTTGGTCATGTTCGCAATAGGAATGGTGGTGAAATGACAGGGGTGACGGCCTCCTACCACTACGACGACGAGGGATGGGGGAGCTGGTATCTCCTACCAAGCTTGGTTAGTGAGAAAGTCCAAATATTATGCTTGGGCGGCGGTGCTTTTGTTCTTGTGCAGTAGTAGTCTTCGAGCATGAGAGGGAGGAGTGGCGACAATTCCGTGCTCTACACTTGCACATTACCTGCAGATAAGTACTTCAAGTACTTGTTTCCGCAGCCCCATCTCGCGACATCTGAAGGCCCTTTTGGACCATGCAAGGCTCGCAACAAAATCTCTGCAGCCGAATCCCGTCAAGAGTGGTTGCACTGAAGCCCGAGGCTTTCTGCGCAAGGCTTCAGGTACGGCAACAAGGCGCGGTGTTCGTCATGGCAATATCACTTCTCTAACGGCTTCCTCGCAGGCCGAGCACTGTGGCTTCGAGACTCGAGCGGGGTGCTAGTGCCTTGAGCATCTCCGAGCTTTTGGCTTCACGCCTTCGCTCTGGGCCACACTATGCTTATTGAATTGGTGTGTATGGGAACTCCCATCGGGAACCCATGCAAGCTACACATGGCCACTTGTTGGCCATTGCTGTGAGAAACGATCCCTGCATCCTGTTCTGCATCACTGATGCACTTTGATTTTTCCTTGCCGGGCCTCACTGGCCCTCTGTGGGGCAGGCCCAAAAATTCAGAGTCTGGTTGCCGAATGGCCGAGAAACTTCTATCCAGGCACAGCTCTTCCCGGGGACTGGGACTAGGAAGTGCCGAAGAGGACTGTGCACCAGGGAAGCTGTTCAAGAGTGGCCTTTCCACAACCACATCCCAAAAGCTGAACACTAAGCTTTCGCTCTGGGGCGAAAGTTCTACGAGAAACAACTCCCTTCATCGACTACCCTAGTGGGCTCTAGATATACCATGCCCCATGCATGCGTCAGCAGAAGGAACCGCGTGGAAAACCGCACTTGCCACACAGTTCTGGTCATCATTGCGTTCAAAACCGAACAGTTCGCACAAACATTGCTCTCATGAGGACCATGCCACACATCGGGCCCATCTAGCAAATCACCATAACCGAAGAATAACCATAGGATTAATCGGAACGGCGGCCATTCAACGGCTATTCAAGCAGATTGAGCATCATACCAAATACCGCTACAACCAGAATCATCGTCCGAATCGAGTCTTTCTGAACTGGAACCATCACATCATCAATAGCAACAAGCCACACTCTTCGGAATCATGCTGGCATTGGGACCACCGGCAACCAGTAAAGATGCTGGCGATCAGGATAGGCCTGTGAACCGAAGGCTTGACCTTTGGCCCAACGCTTAGCGGAAAGGCTCTGCCCCTCACGAGCTCCTGGCGGAAGTAGAGTAGCAGTAGCAGTAGCAGCAGTAGCAGGAGTCGCAGCAGCAGTAGCAGGAACCACCACTACAGCAGCAGCAGCAGGAGCACCCGGGAGAAGGAGCAGGAGCGAAAGCAGTAGCAGCAGCAAGGTAGTAGTCGCCGTAGAAGTGGCAGCATCAGCAGCAACAGCAGCCAAGCGGCAGCAGCAGTGCCAGCAGCAGGTGGATCAGCAGCATTACTCACTAGTCGTCAGGCTTCGATTTGATAGCAGTCCGAGATTAGCTTCCATTTTCTTGAACAGTAACATGTGCGAATGTGTCAACGAAGAAAAGTCTGGAATTTGTGGGTGCAAAGCTTGCGATCATGAAAAAACGCTGCGAAGTATCAGGCCGGTGATTCCGCAGCAGCTTGCCTGAACAATGACCCCCCACCTTGTCAGATGCCCACTTCGTACCACTCGCTGGCACGCCCACCGACGTCATCGTCGCTGCTGTCATTCGACCCGCACTCGGACATGCAAATCAGCTTTTCCTGAGCGACAGGACACAATCCAACCAAACAGAGAAATAATGCACCCGAACCAACATACAACGCAGGAGCACTGGCTCCAACCAGCAACAACATGAAATGGTACAAAGCAAGAAAACTGGCAAGGTGAGACTTCAATGTGCTTGCCGCCGTCCCTGCACTAACCCTGACATGCAAACATCCCACCGCCCGCTACAGCGGCACAGGCAAGGTGCAACATCCGGAGGTATAAGATAAACCAGCAACGCAAGTCTTGCTCAATCGAACTTTAGCAACACCTAACATGACGACAACCGAACAGGACAAAGGGGCCAAGAACCGACGGTTCGTCAGTTTCTGGTTCAGGTCCTGAAGACACAGTTGTGCTTCAGATGCTGGGAATCAGCCCAGCAAGCAATGTCAACTCAAGAACTTGAAAGTCTGCAGTCGATGCCAGGATGTGTGTAACTCCACAACTCGCGACAGGAAGCTCCTTAACCTCTGGCGCGTCCGCTGGCGGCAGGTTCACAAAAGTCCTTGACGGTTGTTGAAAATCAGTGACCCCGCGACAAAACCAAGATCTGCACACACCATGCTCTTATGCAGACACCCTGTTTATTGCAGCACTGCAGCATGTACAACAAGAAACCAAAGTCCCAAAGCAAGGAAGACAGAAATGAGAATGTCTCGGCTCTGTGTACATTTGTGGGCTACCTGCTTGGTTTCCTGGTGCTTGTGTTTCGACGCGTTCCTGTTGTGCACACGTCTGTCCATCTCGTTTTGTGGCAGGCTTTCCTGCTTCTGTGACAGCTCCGGGTGCCGAGATGCGCTCTAACCAGAACCGACCCGGAAGCCACTCAGAAACACGCCAAGATGCCGGTGCCCAGGGCCCAGAACCATGAGCGCCTCCAGAAGAACCGGGCGGTGGTCCTGGGCTACTGCCAGACGAACAATGTGGACCAGTCAGGATACTTCGCCAGATTATGATGCAGGAAGAATAAAAGTGATCATCGTGGTTGCGATGGTGGTGGTCGTGGCGATGATGACCAGGACCATGACAATGGGGTTGGGAACTTTGATGACGATGATGGTGGTGGTTATGATGTGCTGCTGGCAGCAGTAAGGGTGGTGCCGATGCTGATGCTGACACTGCTGCTGCTGCGTTGCCGAAGCCAGCCGGTGATGATGATGATGATGATGAGGAGGAGGAGGAGGATGATGGTGATGATGGATTATGGTGACGATGATGGTGGTGGTAGTAATGGTGATGATGATGATGGTGATGGTGATGATGATGGTGATGATGATTATGATGATGATGACGGTGATGATGATTATGATGATGACGGTGATGATGATGATTATGATGGTGACGGTGGTGACAATGGTGATGATGGTGATGGTGACAGTGATGGTGACAGTGGTGATGGTGACGATGTTTTGATGATGTTTCATGACCTGTGACTACGGTGGTGCAGTGCGGATGCTGGCCAACGTTGTAGTCATGAAGATGGGGATGAGGAGAAAGATAAGAACGAAGATGAAGCCGCGATGATGATGATTATTATTATGATGATGATGATCAATGAATCCATTAGGGTTTCGTTGAAGGCAGTCGCGCTGGTGGTGGACCCCTCATCGGCGTAGGCGTGCAAGAACAGCGTGGGCGCTTGTCCTAATTCTCCGCCACCTTTGCCCATACATTCCTGGCAGCAGCTCCCGACACCTAGCCAAGTGAACTATGCCGCAGCCCAATCCAACATGTTCCTGCTGGGGATGCTGGCGAGGGGCACTGCCGTCGATGTGACCCACGGTTTCCTGGAAACATCTTAGGGCCGCTGTGCGAAATGTGGGGTTCACTGAGTTCACGCCGCGGATTTCTACGTGGGGACCTGGGAGCCTGGGAGCCGACTGTGACAGTCGGCTCGCCTGTGCGAAACCCACGGTAACTGGGCCTACGAAGCTTTTACTCATTGAAGTCCTAAGAGGCCGTGGTATTTCTCAGCCTCCAAAGTCGGCACATCAAAGGCAAAAACCGGCCACAACTGCCAAGAATCGTAGCCACCATCTGGCAGGACGAAGGACATCTGACAGGCCAAGGAATCCGGGGCCCAGTAAATCACCTGCGGGGCTGCTAAACAGATCGGAGGGTTGCGGTCTGCATCCAGCACAAAGCCAGGTAGTCAGGTAGACTTCAACTTTCTTTCGGAGCTGGTTAACATGTGTCATGGACAAGCTGACGCTGAGCGCATGATCTCACACGACGAACCTTCTGCATATAATATGACATGGTCTTGCACCCATGGGCCGCCAAAGCGCCCGCTCAGTGAAGGCAGGGAAGTGGGTCGGCTTCACTTTCGCAGGGTCCTTCTTGAGGCCCCACCTGAAGCTCATGTCCTCTAAAGCCGAAGCCAGCGAAGCCGAACGACCGGACATCAAGCATATGCATCCGGCATCAAACCCGCTTTTATCCACCTCAGCATGGTTCTTCGGTGGTGCCAGGAATCCGGCACAAGGACAGCGATGAAACATGTCTCGTCACTTCCCCTCCAAGTCTAGGTTCTCAAGATCGGGGCCCAATGAAACCTCAAGCATTCCTCCTTGCGACGGTCCATGCAGCTCGGTACTAGTTACTAGCTTTCATGTCTGGAACGGAGGGCTGCCTTCAGCGGTGCGTAGTGCGTAGCTGCTGTGTGCATAAGTCATAGCTCTCTTACACCAAAAACCCTGCGCTAGTACCACTACCACTACCACGACCAGGCTCACCACAACTCCCCCTCGCGCTGCTACTGCTACTACTACTACGACGACGACGAATACTACTACTACTCCTGCAGCTGCCACTACTACTGCTGCCGCCGACGACTGCTACTACTACTACTCCTCCTCCTCCTCCTCCTCCTACTACTACTACTACTACTAGTACTACTGTACTACGGCTACTGCTGCCACCATCACCACCACCACCATCACCACTAACCACTGCTTCCAGTGTGTGTGTGTGTGTCATATACCTGCATATTACCTTGCCAAGCTGCCACTCTGATCTTCCAGTTTCACAGCGACCTCCTGCCCATTTTGTGAATTCACCGCGTAGAAGACTTTGCCAAACGATCCGCTGCCTTCCAAAAATACACTATCATTATCGCTGTTGCTGCGGGACTGCTCAGAACTGTCCGGCGCACCTATCTTTCGCCCTAGGGCGAAAATGCTTCCGACTTTTTCGAGCGGCTGGGCGGATTCCTAGGCAGTTTTGGGGTACTCACACGGATTCACGGAACAGTTTCAAACAACATCAGTGACCAGCTCAATGGGAGCTCAGGCTCCACACTTTGCAAGCTGCCGTCCATATGGAGGTCAGTTTAAAGGGTGTACCCCACTCCAAGTTCACCCATACCTGACACCGAAAGCGTACAAATGACTCGCCGCATTCCACGGGCACCACAGAGGAGGCACTGCCTGCGATGGGACGCTGCATGGGACTGCCCATGGAGCAGCGGTCTATTTCTACAAGTCAAGCCCTGAGCCACATGACTGCCGCAGGGACTGCGCAACTGTCCGTCTTCCCACCGCCGGCTTGACCCGTATCATGAGAGGCTCACGACGCATTTCAAAGAAGTGTGCTGTTCAAAGCCGCACAACACCCGCCTGAGCATCAAAGCTGCTCCTTGGCATGATGCAGCAGCCACGGACGTCCGAAGTACAACAACAAGGCAGCGCAACAGAGTCACTGACGCCATACAGCTCTCATCTCATCCGTCAGCAAGCTTTCAGAACAGCTGAGCTTGCAGCTTTCTGTGAAGATTGTCAGGCAACCTTGGAAGCATTAACATTTTGCTCGCGCATTTTGCACTGTTGGTAATAACAAAAAGCGCCACAACTTGACGGAAGCAGCCTGGTTCAGTGCAGCTCACACACTCCTTTTGAGATTGCCACTCAGTAAAGGTGCGACCGGAAGCTTCAAAACCAAATCCTGCCAAGCGTTGAGTCGTTGAGTGTAACGGACAAACCCAAACGGCGTCAATAGCATCGCAAGCCGATGGTGCTCAAAAGCCTCATCATTGGATGAATGGAAGCTGTACCTCCGAAATGCGGTCTAATCCAGCCAAACGAGTGCTTGTGACTGCAAACTTTCGCAAGTCCGGACGCATGTTAATTTTTGTGGAAGCCTGCAACTTTCCTGACTTGCATTAATCCTGACTGCGAGATAACTGAAGCCTGCATGTGCGCATTGGCTCTTATACAACCAGCAACAGCTGCGGCTGCATGCGGCTGCATTGAGAGATACGGATACTCTCAACAAGCATTTACATGAACTTAGCTGCAGCTGTTGCGAAATGGTTACATGGCTCGCTACGCGGCCCCTCAGCTGAGATCAAAAAGAGTTGAAGGCGCTTAACGCCGCCGGCGCGATCGGGAGCGGGAGTCACGGCGTCCTCCACCACCTTCTGAAGGCTTCTTCGTGCCGCACTTGAAGCACTCTGTCCTTCTCGCGAAGTTGTTGGCCCCACATGACGGACATTTCCAGTCACCTGGCCTGGGCTCTTTCCCACCACCTTTGCCGCCCTTATCTCCAAAATCTCCTCCCTTGCCGCCTCCAATCATTCCTCTGTCTTCTTTCAACTCGCCACGGGCTGCCTTCTTGCGCCGCTCTCGCAACCAGTCCGGCGTGCCACTTTCTGAGCTCTTGCTTCGATCTCGGGGTTTTTTCTTCCCATCTGGCTCAGCGTCGCCCATGATTTGCCGAATTACGGGACAGTCCCTCGAGCCACGTGTACGGCTTGCATCCAACGAGTCACAACATGTCACAACCACTCACACCGAAAACTGCAGCCTCACATGCCACTAGCAATATTCGTCCGTCATCTACAAACAAATCTGGAACCGGTGGTCCAACTACTGGCCCACTCCGCAAAAGCATCTTTGAAGATCCATCCTAGCACGGCCACATCCTGCAGCGGATTCCGCAAAAAGTTAGACATGCCACAACACGACGCTCGGTGGATGCATGCCCCTCTAGTCCTTGCCACTGCTCTGAGCAGTGAATTTCAAACCATTTCCACTTGCCTCAGCTATATACCGACCGCAGTTGAAGGACTCAATCTCAGCTGGGAGCATTACCACACACACGACGCTTTGGTTCTTCTGGTCCTCGGAACATCTGCAAGCTGGGCTCACCGATGCTCCGGGCTTGAAGCGATCCCGACAATCCTTCTCGCGCAACGTCAAGGCTGCAAGCACAGAGACCAGGTCCTCAGGTTGCTGCTGTGTTTCGATGTTCGGTGTTTTGTGGTATTTTGGGATTTATATGCCTCCGTGAACTTCCACGACGCGACACGATCATGACACTAGAACTAAAAGGCAAAAACCCAAAGAGCAAAGCACGTTCTTGATGAAAAGCGGCACTTGCGTTGTCTAAACGACACTCCACCGATCCGCCTGCCAACTCCAATTCGACATTTCTGGTGCTGACTCAATCCAGACCTAGACCAACCAGGCCCACCTGGCATTCTGCACTCCGGAACAGATCATCATCACATGCTCCCGATTGCTGTGCACAACCGTGATACAAACCGTTAACTGTCTCATAGGTGGTGCGCTTATTACATTTGACATGCTCAGCTGCTTCTGGCTGGAAATGAATTGCGCGGCAGCGGCGGAACTGACACATCCACACATTCGAATCTTAGCCATAATCTAGAACTTGACATGCACGATCTTATGCAGTTTAGCTGCAATCTCATCAATCTGCACACGGATCAAGCGTCAAAGCCTCAATATTAATTGGTGCAAAACTTCAGGGCAAGCAAACCATGGAATTTTGCGGTGCATTTGGAACACTTACAGTACATATAATGACATTGTCACATTGTGGAATTTGTACAGCGAACGAACGAATTTGCGCAACATGCTTTTCATTCAGTTGCGGAACTTCCGCCTGAATTTTCTCGCGCTCTTTGTTTGCTGCCGTTCGAGGTCACGTCACGCTGCACGGCCGCGTGTCATGGCATGCGCTGATGGCAACGCAGTCTGTGCCGTCGGGCTTCCAAAAGCAGTTGGCAGGCCGTGGCAAAACGCTCCACGTGCAAAGCTGGCACCTGTGCGCAGGGTCGCATGCCCAAGCAGCTGTGCAGCGAAGGAACTCACGAGCTTGTCGTCTTACGCTCGGAGGTTGGTTCGTCTCTTGCATGCGATCCGTCTCGGACCTTTTTCTCCGAAACATTCACCTCAAAGCATCGACACCTGATTATTCTGCATGCGTGGCCCGGTAATGCATTACGTGCATCTGCAGCGCAACGAACGCAATGCAACGCAAACACCGGCAAACCTGGAAACAGCATGGAATTTGACTGCTCCCATGCTCGGTTCCGCCTAGGCCGCGCGACAGCTTGGTGTTGTGCTGGAGTGGCATCCTCGCGAGGCACCCGCAATGCATGTGGCCTGTTCCATCGGCAGCGGAAAGCGAAGATTCTCCAGAAGTGACAGAGGCCGCGAGGTGGTCGCCGAACGCGTCGAGCACACCACGACAACAGCCAGCGCGGGGTCCGCGAGGAGGAAGAGGAACAGGAAGAGGAAATGGAGCAGCAGCGGGAGGAGGAGGAGGAAGAGGACGGCCGCATGGTGCGTCAAGTTCAAATAGCGCACTAGAACCCAGTGCATGCGCACGGTTGCGCTCGGCTGTGGAATCCCCGTCTCTACACACCAGCATCTCTACATCACCCCATTCTAGCAGCTAAAATGGGGGGGTGTAGAGCTGAAGTAGACCCGTGTGGGTCGATTTTATGATTATGTTGGCATCCTGTCACAAGTGTTTCAAGGGCTGCTGTTTGCAAAATTCAGAACTTCGTTGGACCGGGACACGGCGGTGGCGTTGTTGAGAAGTGCCGAAATGCATGAGAAGGGCAAAAGAGTGTGGGCCACGCAAGATTTGCCGATGATGCAGCGCATGCAGGAAGTTTTCATCATGGGACTTCGATGGCAGCTTGGGAAGTGGGGTTTCATGAAGAGGGATATGGAGTGGGACGACAAGTTTACCAGCCTCAAGGTTGGGCCCAGTGTAGTGGTCAGCGTGTGCATTTCCAACCACAAGTTGGTGTGTGACTGGTCCCCGGAATGGGCGCAATGGGATGACTTGCAGAACAGCAGTGAGCTGAAGCAATTGATCCAACGTGCCAATGACAAGTTGCAGCAAAACAAGGTTTCCAAAGGATCCCGCAAGAGCAAGCAGCCGTTTGCCGGGCAGATGGAAACGTCGTCCTAGGGACAGCTCCGTCCGAGTCCAAGAGTTTCACCACTGCGACAGACTTGCAGAGGTTTTGGGCGAGTTGAACCATTGTCAATGGGATGTCGTGCTATTCAGCGAAACGCGTCGGAACTCCGACCATTGCCAACTTGCAGGTGGTCACAAGCTTTATTCATCATCGCAGCAAACAGTGGCTGCGGGTGTTGCCATTCTTGTGAACCGACGTGTATTGCATGGCGTGACTCGAGTACACGCAATCAGTGACCGCTTGATGTTCCTCGACGTGCAATTTGGGACCCGCCTATGCAGATTGATTTGAGTTTACATGCCACATGCAGGATATCCACATGATGATTTGTGCAAAGTGTATGATCAGCTTCACTGGATTTCGGCCGATGCACAAAAGAAGAAGTATGCTGTCGTGATTGGTGGCGATTTCAATACGCAGTGGAATGTAGGACTGCGCGGTGACATGATTCGGGAGTTCTCCCATATGTTCGGTCTTTGCTTGGCCAACTTTGAGCAGCTGCCAGAGAGCTGGACATTTCGCAGTTCAACGGGCATCAAGCGACAGATCGATTTCATCCTGTTCAGCTCCGAATTATGTTGTGAAACCGCTGGACCAGTTGACGTGCTCGATTTGGGGTCGGATCATCGTGCAGTCAACTGCAATTTATGCCTACGAGGACGTTGTTTCAAAAGGTTTTGGAAAC